GCTTCAACTCCAATAAACAAAAGAATAAAAATTTAAACTTAACAGACGAGTCTTTAATAATCATCTTATTCGGCTAGTGTGTCTTAGTTTCTGTATGTGTCTGTATGTTTTATGTAGTGTGCCTGGTCGAGCTCACTTAAAAGCACAGTTCACATAATTTTGGGGTACCTACTTTGAACGAGTAATGGACGTGATATTTGGACGAGCTGTCCAAACGTGTGTGTCATCGCATAAAGATGGTTACCGTAAGCTGCCTGCGTTTAACGTGTGGGTCTCGGCGGATGGTGCAACTTCTGCAGCTTCTACAACGGATAAGAACACTCTTAATTTTGTTCACATCTACTCTTAATTTTATTTCATTTCTGTCATGATTAGAATCGATTTCTTCTACCTATTCTTATCACGGGTAACTGGGATAGTGGAAGGGACTGAAGTTAGACCTCGAAAAAATGAATTAAGCTAATAATCCCAAGCGTAGCAGGCATAATGTTGCTACGCTTGCATTTTTTTATTAATGCAAATAAATAAATAAATAATGCCTCGATGTTGATCATTCTTGTTTCTTTGAATATTCAGATTTTTTTCTCATCTCAATCGTCTTTACCCAAAGCTCAAAAGGTATCCGCTCGTATATTAGGGCCTTACAACACAGTGTGGAATGCAGCCGATTCAAAAGTTCGTATTTCCAGCTTTTGAAACATGTCTGGTATCAATCAACCATGAATGGAGAACTGGGAGGCGTGGCTGGTCTTCTCAAAGCACTAGCCAGTTTTTAGACCAACCCATACAGACACTTTTTGTCTATTCCCACCTTGTCTTGACTTAGCCCCTTCAAGAAATGATCATGCAGGCTTCATTTTGACTTTGAATATAACTTATCTTTCCCTAACCTAAACAGATGCTACTTATTTTTTCAAATTTGATTTTTTCCGGACCCATGCTCAGGGCAGTAGACGTAGACAACCAGGAAAAAATCCCTCTAGTATATTAGACATCCTGTTCTGGTCATCGAATCCCTCAACGATTTGGGTTTTCTTCTGGTCAACGAATCCTTTGTCAGTAGCAAGCTACCACGATGGATTGCATTGTCCTTAGATTGGTTTTCTGGGAGCCATTTGGGAACTATGGTCGCAACAAGTTATGTTGACGTCTTTCTTAGCTCATACTATCCAATTTTTCTTCTTCCCTGAGAGAGAATAACTGATGTCCTTTACTTAGCAGCGGACTAATACGTGCATCTCTATGAACTGTGTTCTTTTTTTCATTTTGGTCGGCTACCCAGCTACTTTTTTTGAATTTTCGCTGTGTATTTCCGTATACTGTAACGTAGCATTTGTAGCCAACTTTGCATAAAATTCTCGATCTAACACGTCTCAGTGGTTAAGCAGATTTATCCTATCACTTTCTACAGAGAAAAGGCACTAGTGAAGAAGCTTCGACAAAGGCACAAGTAAAGAAGCTCATGGGCCCAGCATAGCAACAACGTCAGGAGCGGGCTCTCCGCCTCTGACGTCGTGGCTGCCACACCGTCGCCCTCCCCTGGCTAGCAAATAAACCTAATGAAAACCACTACAACAACCGACCATTTATATCAGCTATTTAGTTGTGGTAATATAAATCATACTACCACGTGCTTCGGAATCGCCGTCGTGTTATGAGCTTGTGAGACCTGCGGATTGAACCAGTCAGGTCTCGAATAAGTGTGTCCAGTGCCAAAGTATGCTTCCTAAGCGGTGTAGCACCAGTAGTAGTAGCAGCAACACTAACAGACGAAGTTCGAACGGCGAACGATCGTCTGGAATGACGATCACTGGTGGACCTGAACACAGCACAGTATTGTGCGGCCCATGGCAGATATTGCATGATACCGAACACGTTGTAGGTTCATGCTCAGCGTGAAGGCATCGGGCGCATAAATGAAGTTCAGAAACTCTCTTGGCGCGACTTACTGAGTCCAGGTATCTGTGACAGCGATCAGTGACGTGCCCATCAACATTATTCATCGGTGTGCACAATACGCAAGTAGATTGAGAGTTGTGTGTCCTAATAGGGTGCGAACATCCTCTTTCAGTTCAGCGACAATGGCAATAGGACTGGGGATGGCATAAATACAAGTGGCTGGTATGGCGATAATCGACGTATAAATTCTCCATACAAGATTCAGGAGAAGCGGTACCGCTGAAGCGATAGCTGATCCGATACGTAGCAGAACTATTGGGCCGAACATATGCGTTAGAAGTATCAATCCAATAAAGAACATAGCGGTAGCCAATATCATTCTCCAGGGAATGAAGACTTATCCGCACTGGAATGACGTCTGAGAGATGTGAATCAGCGAGCTGCGGTGTAGTTTTTGCAGCACTTGGGCGAAAAAATCTCAGCCGGTACACCAACTGGGCGAGGAGCACTTCTTCGATCTGTACGAGAATCGAGGTCGACAACTTTAAGCTGTCCCTCTCTACAGTGACAGAAGCACAGAGAAGGAAATTTGTGGGCGGGGCATAGCAGCCCCGCCTCAGGCATCGCGGCTGTGACTCAACTCACTTTTTCTTCTGAAGTCTGTGGACCATCTTTTTTCATGGACCAAATGGGAGCAGCTTTCTGGACCCGAAGCACAGCAGGCCAATTATTTATTACAGCAGCTTCCCATTGTCGTTCTTCAACAGTTTTCTCGGCATTACACTCTGNCTTTGATTTCGCGAAGAAAACCAATCCTTATTTTCTTTCAGCTCACCTCAACACCTAGTCGACCAAGACTTTCTTTCAGAGAGCTTTGATCACATTCTTATCTTCCTAATAGGGGATTTTGTAAAATTCTACAGTAATATCAGTTGATGCATGAACATCAGGCATGCTGTAAAAACTTATCGCTTTAGTATTTCACGTTATATTTAACAAAGATAGGTATATTATTTTTTGAAACGTGCTCTATGCTTCATTAACTGAATGTGATCGTTTTTCATGTTGACCGGAGCGGCTGGTGTCCTTGAGATGCCAAAGCGATTATGGCCCTGAACATTTCTCCCGCCTTGGAATGCGAAGTATCATTTGAATATGCTTGACAGAAATGATTAGAAATCCCTCCAATACTGACTGAACCCACAATTCTCAGAGGGGGTCGCTATTATAGGCCTAGAAACAGTCCAGACAGCTTTTCCATCAGCGTCTAGTTCGACACCGAACAGTCCCATCTTCATACATAGCGTGAAAAACCGCATGACCACTTTCCACTGAAACAATCGCATTAAAATTCTTATCGAGCCCATTCCACACTGGTACTGTTCTACTTGCAATCCTTAGACAATTCCCAAACGTCTCGATTCCCACTGAAGCAGCCGACCGTGCCTTAGCGACCAAAATATGGTCTTATATTCTTGAGGGCTCTCTATCCACCCTTATGCGGCTCTGCCTAACCTAACCTAGGTGGGATAGGTATAGCAGAAGGAAGAATTGCCACCTGTTCGTCAATTCTACGTAGTACAGAGCCATCAACTATTCGTTTTTTGTCGAGATCGGCTGCCGCTCATTCTTTACTGATAGTGACAGCTCCAGACATTTTGCTCAACTTTGCGAGCTCCGGTCGCATTCATCAGAACCGGTGCAACTGCCGATGCAGCACGAATCGCAAACAATGCCATTGATTCGAGCTCCTCGGTTCGAACCTGATGAACTGCTTTTTTATCATCTGCTTCACTCCGTTCTTTAGCTTATTTTTAAAATCCGCTCTTGAGACTGTTGAATTCATCGTAGTGTAGCTACAGAAGCACAACACGGTGGAATACTATGGATCTTCTTCCATTCATACATATGGACGTAATGGAGGTGATGCTGGGGCATAAGTCGCCTAATAACAATCATTTGTCCCACATGATCGAACTCAGCCACTCAGACGATCACCTCCCTCGACCTGAGATCAAGCGGAAAAATGGCTCACTTCTGTCAATCAATATGAGAGTAACGAATATCCTCACTAGCCATGGCAAATTTGTACATAAAACGAAAGCATGGCGTATCTTC